ATAATTGTTTTCCTGGAAAGCAAAAGAAATTTCAAAGGTCTCATCTCTGTATTTCAGTAAAGCACTTGATACAGTGCCACATAAGAAACAATTAGTTAAACTGGAGGAGATCAGGAAAGGCAGAGGAGTTGTGAGGAGCAGGGAGGTAGAAACCAGGCTGGGAAGCTGCAAGATCACCTATCAAAGTCTAGCGAAAGGTTACTTGTAGCACTCCCCCATGGTAAGCCATGTGATTGTGTTTGCTAACATTAACCTGAGACCCTGACTCAGAGGAAATGTCCTGATGATTCAACACTAGAAGGCATTGCTGGTACAGGGAAGGACCAGAATATCGTAGAGAAAGCCTTATTTGACCTTGGCAGGAGTACCAGAGACAGAATGAATTTCAGTAGTATGACAGACAAGGTATTATGCTTGAGAACTAATATTAGAAATCTTCTGTAAGCTGGGAACTCTGAGATCTGGCAGAGAGCACAGCAAGCAGGACTAGAGGTAGCCCTTGTCTTCTGGGAACTGTTGGGCCCATTTTCCCAAGTGTTAGCGAAGATCCTCAGTGTAGGCTGTATTGCCCCCGATGCCCACATAAAATTCAGGGAACCTTTGTTTTGTGCCAAGTTCTGTCCTGATATCCTTGTTTAAAGGCAGCCAGGTAGACTCAGTGGTAAACATATCCTGAGAAAAATGATGAGAACTTCTGTGTTAGGAGATGGTAGGGTAATGGTGAGTGTTAGTGTGATGCAGTTGTGGACAAAGCAACCATTGTCCTAGAATGTACTCACAGAGGTGTTCCCTGTGGGGATGGGGATGCATTGGTGTTCTTACCCAAAGTCCTTTGAAACTTCTTCTCTAGTCTGAGTTAAAGTTTTGGCCAGAGGAATACAGGCTGAGACAGGTACAGACAGGACAGAAAGATGATGACAGGCAAGGGAAGCCTGACTTCATGAGAGGAGCCTGGGAGAATCCAGCTTGTTTAACCACATGCAACCAAGGCTGAAGCAGATAGGATTGGTGTAATAAATACACCTTGGAGGAAATGTTTAAACTAAAGCACATGGCTTGTATGAAGAGAGTGTAGTATAGATAGGCCATAGGGTAGAAAACTAGAAGAGGGCTTCTAGCCATTAGGGTAATGCAGCTTTAGCCAGAATCTGAGGTAAAAAGACAAATGGGTTTAAGCCAGAGCTTGAAAAGTCTATAAGAAGGTCGTGATGCCTTGAATAGAAAGAGATGAGACTCTGCTAGCCTGCAGTCCCATTTCATCACCAGGGGACAGCTGAAGTCCCTTGTCTCACCATACTACAGCACAATTACCAGCAAGCAAATGAGCCACGGGGCAGTCACTCAGGGCACTCTGCATTCACCACAGAACTCCCTTTGGTTACAAGGCTAGACCTTTTTACCATATAATTCACACACTCCATGATTTTAATAACAACAGAATAAAAATATGCTTTTTGATGCAGCTGAAAGCCCCAGCACAGCACCTGGAAGGCCAGAAGTTAGGGTTGACCTAAACCCCTCTCAGCCTTTACAGCGTGGTGGTTTCTCTTGATTTGGGTTTTGCAAAGTAAAGAAAAGTGAGCGGAGAAGCCCCTGCTTATGATAACAAGCCTTTAAAAAGCAGATGGGGATGTGGGGGCTGGAGAGTTTTGTGGCAGCTGAGAAGTGACAGCTGAGGAGATCAGGGAAGGGAGAATCTGAAAAGCAGCTGGTCAGAGGCACTCACTGAAAAGGGGATGATCAGTCACAAGAGAATGAAAATTGGGGGGGAGAGAGAAAGAATAACTGGGGAATCAATGACATTTATGTCCAGTGAGAGAGATGTGAAAGATAACCATATGAGACCATGAGTGGATGAGAAAGTGGAGACTGCTAGAAGGGGACCCTCAGTTTAAATAAAGGGCTAGATTTTTCTCTTGCCAGGAATTGCATAAATCTGGAGATCCCTGTTTAAAATTCAGTGAATTTATACTACTATAAAGTGTTTATGAGTAGGATCAGAACTAGTTTCCCATAACGTGACTCCCACAAAATTACTTGCTAAGGTTTTGCCCTAGCATTTCCATGTGCCTCCATCTTTAAAGTAGGAACAATGTTCACACACCTTAGCAAGTATGCTATGAGATGTTGTTCACTGAGGAGAAGTAAGGAAAGGTGGTATTTATTATTGTATGGCAATAGTCAGGTAGTATCTACAATGCAGGGCACAGATTTTGATGGATGAGGAATATACTTCTAAAAGGAGGAGGAAAAATTAGGAAGACTGCAACAGAAGGTTACAGTGTGGTTTCAGAGGTGAGGAAGTGCTTTACAGTCAAAGACTTAATGACCTCAATCTGCTTATTTTACCAAAAAGAAGATGGAGAGATTATTTGATTAGAGTATAAAGTACCTTCACAGGGAGACATGCTGGTTACTGAACATTTGTTTTTTAAGTCTAGGCGAGAGAAACATAACAAAAACCTGTGAAAGGAAACCTAACAGATTCAAATGAGATATTAAGCATAAATGCTAACATTGAGCATGAATAGTTATTGTAGTAAGGTACCGAGAGAAAAGGGGGGTTTTCATCTCTTGAGTGTTTTTGAAATCAAAGATAGATGCTTTTCTGGAAGATTCGCTGCATGTAAACACTCACTGTTGGACTTTCTACAGGAGAACTCTGTTTTCTGTTTCATAAGATAAACAGATTGAGCTCTTTAAGCCTTTCACAGCAAGGCATTTTCTGCCACCCTCAAATGTTTGCGATTCTTTTCCACACACTTTCCAAGTAGCATGCAATACGCAGAAGGTCAGACTGCATGATCTAAAGTCCTTTCTGGCCTTTATACTCTCTGAATCTCTGCCTCTGTGAATTCATTAATGTTTGCAAGCTCCCAGAGAGCTGCCAAAGGCAAGCACTATAGAAATGCAAAGCATCGTTGTTACTCTGGATATTTCCCTTGAGCTTTATACAGAGCTGGTTGAATATATCAGTGTATCATATTTCTTCAAATGAAATACCTGCATTTGTTGCTTGTTTGGTGCCCTTTACAAGTTGATTTTCTGCAGCTGTTCTAACAAACAAGTTTATTTCCAATTTAGGACACAGAAAAAAGCAAATGTGAAGGGCCAAATCTCAACTTGGAGCCTGGAGCAAAGAGTGGCATGTTGTTGTCCTGGCCCAGAAGCTCTATGTAAGGCAGAGTTATTCTTAGCATCATGCTTTGCTTTCTCCTTGGCTCCAGGTACCCTGCATGTGGCCCCTGCCTGGTTGCAGCACAGTGCCACTGTGAGAAGGAGGGATCTAGTCTCTTTTGGTTGCTTTTCCCCCACCAGCTAAAGGGAGAAAATCTGTGAGGATGATGCCTTGTCCCGATATTTCCAGGGCTGCCACCAATGTGGAGAGCTCCCCAAAATAGCACAGGAAATCATTATTTACTTACACTCCATTCTGTAACGATACTCATTAGGGAATGCTTATTCTTTTGTCTGTATTGCATAGGATTCTCATAAGGAAGGCTTTTTGGTCCTCAGAAATCTCATGCTAGGATTTGCACTTACCTAATCAGAGGATAGAAGCTGACCCTCTGACCTGTGCTTCCAAAGTGCTAGCAAACACTGTTCAAGCCAGCACAGCAAGCTGCTGCTGAACAAGATACTGAGGAGGAATTCTATTTTGTATATTTTCCCTGTATTATATATACGTAATTACATGTTTAAATATATGGTGTTATATGTATGCATGAGTAGATAAGTGTGCAGGGCAAATATATTTGCCAATATCAAATGATAATCAAATTATAATAATCAAATTACAGAAAATCACAGCCTACTCCCAGATAATTCATGAATTGAAAAAAGCCTAGAGTCATCAGATGAGTGTGTTGGCTTTGCTTTTTTTTTTTTTCTGCTCTACATTTCTGGTATTATATGTACTGCTTAGTATCTGTGTGCGCTCCTCTACCTACATGGCAAAATTAGATTAAACTATGTGTCATAGACACCATACTGTTAAACAATAATGGTGATTCTCCTGCGGCACATACCTTTTCAGCAGAACAGGTACCTCAGCTGTTATTGGATTAAGAGTATCTGGGTTCAGCTCCCAGTTTCTCTCTGAAGATCAAACAGTATAAAATGGTAGCCAAGTAGTGTGAGTATGGTGGCACAAGGGCTTACTTGTGGCGGAGTTTAACATCTTTTGTGATTTCACACGCATCAGGATGAACTTTTTCTCACAAAAAGAGTATGTGATGAATTGTGTATGCTTAGCACTGAAAGTGAAGAATTGGGGAGTTTAAACTTCTAAGCTGTGTGTGATAGGCCTAGCCAGTGAACAGCTGGTGGAGAGACTCTTTTAGCTATAGGGGTAACAGCTTGTGTACTTGGGGGTGCAGTAGGTTTAGATAACAATTTCCATTCATTTCAAAATAACCTTGCTCAGGCAGGAGTGTCAGGAATCTAGAGATAGAGGAACCCATAGCTCCCTATTTGTTACTGTAAGTTTTATTGAACATTATGCTCTAATTAAAAAAAAAAAAAAAAAGCAGCTTTTGGAAATTTGACCTGAATATAACTCCATTTGCTTCTGCGTTCTTACACTAGGGATTAATTTGGCCCTTTCTACTTTTATGTAATGAGCTGATTGCCACAGTATCTTATCCTTGTTACACAATCGCCCTTGTCTGGCTGTGTCCAGGGCACATTGTGTGTGTTTGTGTGTGTGTGTTTCTAGATCTAGGGTCTCATCTTGACTGATGGTGTATTTAGTCCTATAGCCTCACCCTGAGTACAGGTACATGCTTGCCTAGGATTTACACTGATACACTCTATGTGTGTGTATATATGCCCATGTTCATTCCAAGTTCCAACACTGTGTACAGACAAGCATCCACACATGTAGGAATTCAGGGGCTTTTTCGTTTGTCTGGCTGTGTTCCTGCAGCATTTGCTTTTGCAGGTGGTAGGGGAGAGAAGGAAGGTTACTATCAGAGATCTCATTTAAACAAGAAGGAGCATAGGAAAATACATTCTTTATTATTCTTCTGTAACAACAAGCCAGAAATATAATATACCTTTAAAAATTTTCTGTCTCTTGCCAAAGAAACCTCCATTCAATCATTTAGAAAACCTTGTTGCTCTCCCTCAAACAGTAACGAAAAGAAAAAGAAATTACAAAGTGCCATCTGTTCCCTGCAACAAATGTGCCTGCCTGTACCACGGCGGGTGTGTGGCGAAGGGGAGAGCTGGGGAGCAGAATGGGTGTTTCTGGTGGCCTGCCAGCCCCTACATCGGCCTGACACGTGCCACCCCCAGAAGACCGCCTTCTGAGGGCAGGCACCTGCATGTGGCATTGGTACACCTGTCCATAGCAAAGGGTGTGTTCAGGGGGATTCCCCCTATGCCTAGCCATGCCTGCAGGGAGAATGGGAGTCCCTGTTCCCACACACCAGAGGAACCCATTGCCTGGGTACACAAGGATCACTGGGTCTCGTTCTGTGTCCAGCATCCCACAGGAGAACTTTGTTTCTGACCATGCTGGGTACCATGTTCCCCAGAGTGTCTGCGGGCAGTGCAGCAGCTCAGTCACACTAGGGCAGCCTGTTTTCCAGTTGTGCTAAGGAACAGAGTAAGAGCCTGTTTACAAACAGTGGTATAAAGAGGGCATTTCCCAGTGAACCTTGTTACTCTCCTTTGCGTGAAAGAGGACAGGTCCTTGTCCTTCCAAGCACAGTATTTACTTTCCGGTGGGATTTCCCATAGCAGCCAGCCTTCATGTTTCTTAGGAACTCTCTTTTCTCCCCTTTCCTGGGTGGGTTTCTAAACATAGCAGTCCCTTCTCTAGATTGAGATGAATCCAGACTTTCTGCCTTATAAATGAAAACAAAAAAGAAAGGATGGGTAAGGTCATCATCAGCCTCACAACACAAGATATAGAAAATATTATTAGCAACAAAGAAAAATTGGTCAGGGCAGGAGGAGATCTCAGGGAAAGTGCAGGGAAAGGAGGATTTCACCCCCTCAACCCCTGCGTTGTCCCCTGCCTCCATCCCATTCTTTTTACCTCTAGTCTATCCCCTTGAAAACAATCTCTCTCTCTTGCTCACTCACACGCACACACTCACACACATACACACACACACATATATCGATCCCATTTGTTTTGTGCAATATTTCACCATTATTTGATGCAAGTAAAATATAGATCTATAAATATACCACTCTAACTCAAGTTCCATTTCAAGTATGATTGCGGAGTCCAGTATGGTAAAGGGAGAAGTTCCCCTGAGAGGGAGGTTAGGGAAAGGTTTGGATCCATCAAGAGTATAGTCCTGGCTTGCTGGGAATGTGGAGCAGCAGTAACACGCATATGGAGTCTGCAGTGCACCAGTTCTGCCCTTTAGAGAGGGCTACGGTTGCAGCAGATGGGATGGTTGGAGTGGCTATACAGTGCATGAGAGAAGAATCCTTCCTCCTCACATCTTGCCAGCCCCCCTCCTCCTCCTCCTCTTCCCCACAAGCAGTGTGCTGTGAGTGGGGGTACAATGTGTGCGCACACTTGTGGGTGGACTGCTTCTCCCAGGCTTTCTTCCAGAGCAGCCTGATCATCTGCTTTCTGAGGAACATCCTCCCCTGTCCCATGCATCCCTGTGTCAAAGGGAAGTCATGATAAAACAGTCCACAGTATCCTGTCTCTTTGCCTCTGCTGGCCCTGGATAGGCCAGAAGGGATTTTGCCACTCCATACTTTGATGAAAGACTTGGCATTGTGTGCTCATGGGTCAGTACAACCACCTGTCTGGGACCAGAATGGTCTGAGGAGCTGGTGTGCATCACTTCCAGAGGGATCCAGCAGAAGCAGCGAGCTGTCTGAAGGCATCGGGAACCAGATGGGGAAGGGGGAAGAGGTGATGTGCCCTGGCAGGGTGCACCTGCAGTATGTGCTGGGCTATGAACACAGGTTGCTAGCAAAACACCCTGCAAAGCTGGGCTGACTGTCAGCTTGTTTCCTGATGGCAGGGATCACACCATCCACAGGCACTGCGGATGCACGACCTCCGGTGTCATCTTCCTCGCCCAGGAATACCCACTGTGACGGGTTAGAGCAGGTTACCATGGCAATGTGCGCTTTCCCCTGGAGACAGCATTTTATCCCACTTCCAGTGATACAAAATGAGTCCTTATGTTGAGTTCCTTACTTTTTTTTTCCTCCTTTTTTTATTTTTTTTTCCTGTCAGGTCAGAAAGAGCTAAAGCTAATAGGAGGCACTGCAGTCTGAGGGCTTTAAAATCTGGTAGGGGAAGGTCACCCTGTGTGACAGTGGCAGTGTCCACAGCTGTGTGTGCAGGCACACTCATGCAGCTGTGGGTGGCAGTGAACACAGCAGTGATGGTTAGGGGAGCGTATGTGGGGCATGCTGCCTACTTTGCTGGACCCTTCCTGGGCTCTCCCACCTGTGCCACACTGTGGTCCCGGCTTCAGCTTTCACCTCAAGACCCTCCAAAACTGTGCCCCTTCTCTTCAATCACCCAGCTGCATAACCCAGTGCCATACACCGTGCTTGCCCCTCTGCCAGCCATGCCAGCTCTTGGGTTGTGTGTTGTCTTCTCCTGCCACCTCTCCCTAGGCTCACACTACTCCTCAGCATGGCTTACACTGCCAAGGCTAATAAGCCATCTCCCTCCTCTGGTCTTTACTGATGACCCACTTCTGCTCTGCAAATCAAACATTTCCAGATGGAGGCTTTATATCCTTAGCCTCTCCATTTATCAGTGAAAACATAAAGTAGATAATAATACATCTTACTTTTTCATGCTCTGTACCTATTTCCATAGACTTATGCTGTAACCTTAATAACTTTACCCCTCTCCATCCCCTCCTGCCCATTTCCACTGACTCTGCACTATGGCTGAGATGGTTTTGTTAGCTCCTCAGTGGCAGGGTGCATATATTTTGTCTGAAGCAGAAGGTGCTATGTACTGTTATGATGAGAGTAAGATAAAGTTGCTGGATGTATTCATGGCTGCATGCAGAGGGCAGATCAGCATGGGCATGTGTGTCTCCGCATGTGCAGGTGGGGTGCCTGGATGTCTGGAGCTGGGGCTGTCTCTGTGTGTGTGTTAGGATCCAAATGAGTCAGTGTGGGTGTGTACAGGAGGACGGCTCTGTATCTGTAGTAGGTGACATGTATGTCAGGTCACAGATTTGGACTTCGCCAGTAGCAAAAAGAGGGACATTGTGCTCCCTGACAGTTAGTTTGTTAGAGTGATACAGGTTCTCTTCACCTTTAAAAGTGAGAAGGCAAATCTCCCCCTGACTGTTGTAATCCCCTAAGGACCTTCCCTCCCTTCTGAAGTGCCCTTGGCAGCACTGACTTGTAGTAGGGTGGGCAGTGACCCTAACAGTGAGGCATGGACACTTCTCGTGTCCTGCTCCTCGGACAAGCTTTCACAGAGCTGTGCTCTCTGTTTGCAGAGAGGTCTTGAGAGGATACAGGACAACTCAGGACAGAAGCTGAGAGGATGACACAGGTTCCCAGAAGCTGCCAGCTGCCTCCACAGCAGGCACGCAAGGGAAGCTCTGTGCTAGGGCATGAGGCACAGCAAGCACTCAAGGTCTGACTCTACTTTATTTGTCTGGTAGGGACCAAGGGTGAAAGGGCACAAAAATGGACCTGGGGCAGAGGAACAGAAATTGAGCCAGGTGCCCTGACCCCCCAGAAGCATGTTGCACTACTTGGGTGAGTGGAGCAATAGCACAGTCTGTCTGTCTGTCTGAGAAGATGTATTTTGGGAGGACCCCATGCTTGACTGCTCTCAAGTACCTTTGTTCATTGCTGTCCCTTCCTTCCTAGAAGAGTTTCATGCCACAGAAGAGATTTGTTTTTGCTCTTCATGTTCACCTTCTGTATCACCCATGAGTGGCTGCCTCTTCTTCAGCTCCCGGTGATACTTGGCCATGAGGGAGGCATAGATACACCCATAAGCAGCTGCCACCACCATCATGATGCAAACAATGCCGCAAACTACCCCTGCGATGATCACAGTGCCAATAGCCCTGCGCACGCTCACAGGCCTGTATCGCTGTTTCTGAGGGCATCCCACGCTCGACTCCACTTCTGTTTCTGGGCCTGATTTCGATTTGGAAGGAGTGGGGCTTCCTTTAGTGCAGGGTGGGCCAGTATTGTCCAGCACTGTAGAGCTGTTCTCGTCATCCAGCTGGGAGCAGTAGTTAAACATTTCCATGGGCACCATTCGCATATCCTTCCCTTTCAGCTCCTTGGGCAGGGTGCATGCCAGCTGGTCGATTTTCCCACCTGTCCCAATAGAGATAATAGGAATGAACCACAGCTTCATCCTCATACAGCGACAGCAGAGCTATATCCTCAAGTGGAGTAAGTTCCTATGACTCTGTTCATACCTGCTAAGGATTTGCCCTACAGAAGTCAAGCATAGCAGCATTATGGTTATCAAATGGGGAACTGGTTATAGTAGAGAGGCTACAAAATTCAGTCCCTCATGTGTGAATGCATTGCTGAGTAGAGTATTTAAAGAGCTTCTCCCATCCCCAGAAAGCAGCCATGATCTAGTACAGGTTGTTTCTAGAATTCAAGGGTAACACTGAAGTAAGGAGGTGTTGCAGACCCCCAAGTACTGCCATTTCCTCAGTGATTGTCAAAGGTGGAGGGAGGAAGGAATGGCTGCCCCTCCTTGCACTGGTCAGAAAGAGCACACATGGTACCCTTCAAAACTATTGTTTTGCCTAATTTGGAGACATTTTACATGCCTTAGCTCTCCACAGCTGGAACAGCTTCAACCATGGCAGCTGGCTGGGATGCTTTTGCCTAGTCTGATTTGACAGTAGAGCTCATGGTCCATGATATCTTTCAGGCCAAGACATGAAAGCCCTCTGAAACCATCTATTAAGTCAGCCTCATACTGTGTAGTGAGTTATGTAAGTGTCAGTAGAACCATTTTAGAAAAGGAGAAATTAAATCAAAAAGATAGGACCAGGCTGTATCTTCTCAAAATAACAACAGACATACAGTCCCATCTTCTAACAACTAATCCCTCCCCGCTCTGTGAAAATAGTGACAGATGTTGAAACAAATGCTTGAGCGAGTTTGGGCAATTTCTTTGGAAGGGGGGAAAAAAAGCAAAATTAACTCCATGTGCTTTCCATCAACTCTGTGATATGAGAATCAAGACAGAAAACAAACGGGGAAAAAAAAAAAAAGAGAGAGAGAGAGAGAAAAGCGGCTCTCATATGCTTGTTTGATTCTGCTCACACAAATGCATATTTCAGACTGCAGTGTAGCCATAGGCATAGATAATCTCTTTGCAGCATGACTGTGATCAGCAGGGATGTGACAGCTGACTGTTGCTGTCCACATGATTTGAGACCCTTTCCTACTCATTGGCTCCAGCGACAGAAGGTCAGGCTTTCAGTCGTCATTCCTGTAAAATGTGCCATCTTTCCTGAAAGCGTGCCATCCTGTTGGCATTCCTGCTGAGTGATAAATACCTTTCCAGCCTTCTGTATTTCGAGGAAAAGCTGGAAATACAAACTGGTCAAAAACTGCTTCATTTGAAATGATGGTTTCATAGCCAGTCTGACTTGGGGCCTGGCTTGTTAATTTGAGCTTTATTTTGGGTTTGCCAATATTAGTTGCAGTATTTTCCTAAGTGGCACTGTTTTCTATAGTTCTTTTGTTGAAAGCAAACCTGATGCTTTACAGCCAAATCTGGCTTTTAACTCTCCCAGCCTGAGAAAGAGAATAGGATGGTTATTTTCAAGTGTGAAAAGCATTTCTTCACTTTAGACATAAAGGGTAGGGGAACTCATAATCCTAAAATTTTGTTGCTATTTGAGGAAAGTTCTTTCCCAAGAAAAAGAAAGTAATCTTTCAGATTAGAAACAAAGCAAGGAAATAGGTGATCTGGGGCTGCAGGGGACTTCTCAGCCTGGCAGTGTTGCTCTATGTAGGTGCAGTGGCACTAAACTGTCTCTTAGCATTGTAGCACAGTCCTCATGCTCCTTGTCTAAGATTTGGCATTCAGGTCGGGCTGACCTGCCAGATGTATCTGCTCATGTTTCTTCCCTGCCTGCCTTTGCCTTTCCAAGGAAGACCGTCACTTCTGCACTTGGCTCCCGCTGCGCAAGCACCTACCTCTGTAGGAGAACCACTCCATCCAGTGCTTGAAGTCTCGGAGGTTGCAGTCACATTCCCAGGGGTTATCCCCAACTTGGAGTTGCTGCAGGCTAGTGAGTGGTTCAAAGGTCACCCTGTCCAGACTCTGCAGGCGATTGGACCTGAGAGAGAGGGAGCGAAGAGCAGGCAGGTCATCAAAGATGCCCGAGGGTATCTGGGCTAGGCCGTTGATGGAGAGATCCAGCTGGCGCAGCAGGGCCGTGTGTTGTAGCAAGTCCTTGTCCAAGGCCCGGATGCTGTTGTTCCTCAGCTGGAGCTCCGTGAGGTTCCCCAGGTCACTGAAGATGTTCTGAGGGAGTTGGTCCAAGAAGTTGTTGGATAGATCCAGCCTCTGTAGGGCAGAGAGGTTGGAAAACACTGCTCCCGGCAAGATGCTGAGTTTGTTGTTGAGAAATAGGAAGGTCCTGGTGTTTGTGGGGATGTCTGAGGGGATGGAAGAGAGGCCCAAGCCACTACAGTCCACTTCCAGGTTGCCACTGTTACACTTGCAGGAGGAAGGACAAGCAAAGAAGGACTCGGCAGCACATAGCGACAGCCAACAGCCAAGCACTGGTAGGTGAAAAGCAAGGGAGACAGAGTGCATGTATTAGAGCAGTGCTTTCCCATCCTCACCCATTGCTGCCTTGAGCACATCTATGGCTACAAAAGGGCCCTCACAGCAGGACTCTTCGCCACAATGCCCCACAGTGTAATGAGTTTCCTCACAGCTTCATCTTTTTACTGCTGGCCTGCACCCTGTCAGCAGGACTTTCCTCTTAGCCTTTTTTCACGAGCAAGCAAGTAAATATCCTTCCATTTTCATAAGGAAGTTAGAACAGTGCATCCCAGAGGACTTTGCTGCCAGGTACTAGCGCACTGGAACCTGTCAGAGGAGAATGGAGCAGAGAGTGATGGGAGGTGTCACCTCTGATAAAGGACAGCTCTTTCTAAACAGAGTGGAGAGAGGAAGGACTGGTATATATTTAAGAAGCTCTATTTTTTCAGAAATAGACACATTAAGAAAAATAAAACCAAAACAGCCTACATCACAGTTGTGCTCCTGTGGTTTGAATCCTAAGCTTTGTGATAGATCAGACTCAGGTCTAAGTTAGCCTCTAAACCAGGGTATCATGTGCTTTCCGTATCCACAGTGTGTTGCGTGGGCCTTGTGGCAAGAGGCTTTTTAATGAATTACATTACATTACAAAGGGATGACCAAGAAAGCTGTTAAAAAGTAGAGACCCTAAACCACTGGACATCTGGTACTTGCCACTGCTCTCCAAATAGTTTCTGAATCCCACAGGAATAGCCCCACAAGTATGTCCTCTGACCAAAATTGCCTATAGCAATGGAGTTGAGGAAGAAAATAGCAGGTTGGTAGTTGAAGAAGGGGGTATTAGGAAAAGGGTTAGCACACACCCTCTTTCTCCTGCAGTGTCTCAAAGGTAAAGTTGGACAATCTACAAATCAGCATTTTTTAGAGTTGTTGTGGGATCACCATTCCAGACGTGGGTCCAGAGTCTGTGAATGGTGTCAGGCATTAGTTACGAAGCCTCCCTGAGAGCCAGTGGCTTTTACAACTCTCATTTCTGTGACAAAGAAGCATCAGCAGCAGGAAAGCAAGCTTTCTGCCTCCTGTCATTAGAGGAGTGGGAGTTATGTTTAAGCAGACTATGTAAAACATTTGCATCCCTCATCTTCATTCCTTTTGTGGAATTGAGATTAATTTCTTCAATGTGGGAAGCAAATTCAGCTCTCTCGCTATTTTTTAAGGTGACGAATTTGAGCATTTGACTAAAACTGAAGCAGGTTTGTCTGTACGTCATGCCCTGTCCTCTCCTTTTCTCACTTTTATTCAGAGAAAGCAGTCACTTGGGATTGGTAGCGTCTTTTTAGGGATGAATGGTAGCTAAAGTGGATGCATTTATTGTCTCACCATTCTTTTCTGGACTAGAAACCAGGTTCTTCTGTCCTGATTTTTTCCAAAGAACCATCAAGCAGGTGTTTTGGTTTTTAACCCCAAAGGAATTATGAAAGGACTGCCATAGGAGAGGGAGCTGGTGGAGAATGATGCTCTGGAGAAGCTTTGCCTGGAAAAGCTCTGCGGTCAGATATTCTCTTCCTCTCTTCCCTCATGCTACTGTCTCTAGAGTTTAGTCTGATCCCTAGCCTATTTTTTTTATATCAACTCGTCTTCTGTCAGAGATGCTGCCTTCATACTTAAACCCTGTCATCCTGCATAGGGCCTTTTTGTGTTCCCAGTGATCCCTGTGAGAGTTGGCAGATTTGTGGACTGGTAGCCTAAGGAGAACTACACCGTTTGGATCCTAAGCTATGTGACTTCATTAAGGACCAAGGAATGTGTTCAGAGAGAGTGTCTCAGCACTTTTATTTCATCTATCCTCCACAATTTCTTCAAGAATTTTTTTCTGTCCTACTGTTGAGATCCCAGGTGTACATCAGCCCAGGTTGTGCCAATCTGTGTGGTCTTTTAGTGATAATTATGGATCCTTATGGTGAAATACAAGAGAGATCTTTACCCTAAGCACTCTGTGCTTTCTTGTCATGCAAAGACTGGGGTCAACAGCAGAGATTGCCATGAAAACAGATCATAGCCAGTGGACTGGCACAGTGCAGGTACTGTCTTGCTGTCTGATATTTAATTCCATTCAGAATACATCGCACTCTTGTTTTAGGGAGAGAATTAAAAGAATGGGAGCCAGAGTGGGGAAGGGAGAGAGCCTGTCTTTTCCTGGATGCTTAACAAAAGTACAGTATTAATAATAGATTGACAGCTGTGATGATGAGATAACAGCTGCTTTGTACACCAAGAAAGGCAAGAGCAGACCGTGTGTAATGCTATACAGGTGGCATTCTGTTCAGGGCTTATCTCTCAAAATGCCTACCCACCACCGGCTTCAACTAAGTGGCTGTGGGTTTCCACCAGTAGTATGTATGCTGGCAGCGGCTGTTGGGAACAAAGTCTCAGGCAGCTGGCTGTGGTTATGTTCAGGAACTGGATTTATGCCAAGTTTCTGCAGCCATGTAGGATGTGCCAAAAATCTCTGTTGTTACCCATATATTGCTTTGTGCTCATGGAAATATTTTACTAAAATCATGGAGAGGAGAAGGTCTGATTTCATCTTCAGTCCATGCACGAGGTGCCTCCACTAGGATGTGAGCTGAGACCAAGGAATTTATCGCATTGGTTAGGATGCAGCTCTGTGGGGAAGAGAGGCAGTGAAGCAATAGACAGGACTTGAAGCTGTTTTCCAGCCCTGCAGAAGGATGAGTAGTATGTGTTTTTGTGTTAGGGGAAGATGGAGTTACTTTGTGGGGTGTTTGGTGACTCTAGCAGGTGACAGAAAGCTGATCCAGGTATATCAGATTAATTCAAGACTCAGTAACATTCATTATAAATAATTTATACAGCAGTCAAGTCTGTGAGGATGGATTACAAACAGGCCTGTTTTCTGGAGAAGGAAATAATTCCCCCGGCTTCTTACAGTGGCAACCCCAAATTTGATCAGGGGGCAGGAACAAGGGAAACCACAGACCTTCTCAGTGCCTGCGCATGCAGTAGTGATAGACACTCTTCTCCCTTTCCTCTGCTGCAGTCCCCAGATGCTTCTCTCAAGTGCAGGTACATTCCCTGAAGCCCCACATTGCTCTAGCAGTCTCTGGTCTGCACTCAGGGATACTGTAGCAGATGCCCTGGTCCACTGGGAAGGACCACTGCACAGGCTGAACTTTTACAACTTAATTTAGAAGAGATTATCTTTATTTACTCCTTGATTTTCACTACATGTGGCAGTGCCCAGTAGGAGAATTCTGCATTCACATCCTGCATTGTCTTGACTTCTGCTGTGAAGAGCTGGGAGCCTTGCTCAGCAGCCTATGTATAAACCCCTACCACAGAGAGGAGTCTGCATCTTATGGAATGTCAATCTGAGAAATGTTCGGGGTAGATCTTTGTGTGGTGGTATCTGTCTCGCTGTTTCTCACCTGCCAGGCCCACTGGAATTCAGAAGCAATCATCACTTGCTGTCCCACTTAAAGCCCATCTGCAGCTTTAAAGTCTCGCTCTCTCTCCCAGCTAGCCTGGCCTCTAAAGGAATCAGGAATTAGTTCAAACATCTCCATTCTTAGCTGTCCCTCTCCCCTATTCTTAACCCTGATGTGACCTATTTTCTTTCCACTCCCTTGACAAACATGATCATTATACTTAGCACTTGAGTAGGCATTACTTACGACAAGCCTCTTGCCACCTCATGAGGAACCTGCTCCTCCATCGGTGACCAGCAGTTGTAGGCAGCATTGTTGTCTTCTCCAGCGTGTCTTCACATCCACCAGCCAGCCTGGCACACGGCCCCAAAGGGAGGAGGAATGACCTTGTAGCCTGCCTGCCCAGTCCTGGAGGGGGAGAGCAGAGCGAGGCGGGTGAGGTTCAGTTCCCTGGGTGCAGGATGTGGGGCTGGGCTCAATGTTGTCCTTTCCCCTCCCCAACTAGAGTTTTGCCTTTGAAGCATCAGGTCCGTTTTGAGGAGAGATGGTGGATGTTTCAGGAGGTGCAGCATGACAAAGGCGTGATGTTAATTCACTTTGAACCTTGCAGTGCAGAAATAAGTCCTGATTCACCTAAGTGCTGAAGAGACAAGCCTGTGCTTGAATAGCCTGCTACAGTAGCTACATTAGCCTCACACTCAGGGTTAACCTGATGAATTGCTGAGGTGACCCTGCCAGGGTAGCAGACTCCAGCTTATTCCCTCTTGCCTCCACTCAGGCTGGTACCACCTGTGCATCCTTTCCCTGATGCATGGCTCAGACTCACTGAGGTCTGGGCACCAGCGGCTGACAAGCCACTTCTGTCTGCCCTGTATTCCCTGCCAGCACTTCCTTTCTGTTTTAAGGTAAAACGGATGTGGTGGCTAGAGCAGGACTGAGCAGAGCACAGCTTTAGCTTGGGGATTTCATACTGCAGCAACTGCAGGAGCTGAAGAGCAAGTGAGCCCTAGAGGAGAAGGGAGGACCTGGGGCGGGGGAGACTGAGTGGGAGTGTTGAAAAGAGAGGAATTACATCTTAATTAGAAGAAGGAAAAATGCTTAGTCTAATTAGAAACCCAAAGACCATAAACTCTCCCCTGACAATAAGTGACTGACAACAGGTTCCAACTTCCCTCCTGCTTCCCTTTTGGATACAGGCAAGCAGGAAAAGGGGAGACACCACTGACTCTCCTGGCCCCCTGCTTGCCCTTTGACGTGCCACCCACAGTCACAACAGCAGTTAGATGGACACATTTCAACCAGGGTACAGGAATAAACCATCCTCCATCCCCTCTGATGGGCTCTGACAACATCCACAGCCGTTATTTTAGCTGGGCAATGCACTCCCACCAGGACACTCTCCCCACACACGTGCCAGCTGCTTCCCCTCCCCCAGGCTCCCATGACTGATTTATTTTATATTGGAATGTGAACCACCAGGAAATATTTAAATTAGCATCTCAATGAGCAAGATGAGCAGGTTCAGTGCCTGGACTAGTACATTTTGCAAGGCTATTTAGATCATTTACCCAAATGTCAATGCACCAAATAGATTAACACCTCTCACAGCACCAAAACCAATCCAACCTCCACCTGCTGCAGCCCCCCACTCCCCAAACCGAGCTGGAGCTCTTCCAACTGCAGTCCCCACTGAAAGAGAAGCTGCAACAAATAGCTGTCCCCATTTGGTGCTTGCACCCACCCTGGCCAAGGAGGAGACTTTCAGCCTTCCCCATATCAGTGTCTCCATCCTAAATGCCACCCCTGAAGTCTTCTGTCCCCAGCTGTTGGTATTGATAAGGAGGATGAAAAGCTGCAAGCACTTACCTGGAGGGGCTCTGCCCGCAGCCACTTCCACCTGACTCCCCAGGCAGTGCCAAGTAACAGCCTCTTCCTTCCCTCTCCCTCCTTGACTTTCACTCCCCAGCAGCAGTCTTTCCGTGTGCTCTATTTAACTCCCTACAGCACAGGAATAAACGGCAGAATTAAGCTGACAGCCACAGAGCCTTATCTGCCTGCTGGATAGCGGGAGTCGATCAGCTCCAAATCCCGTTGCTGAATGATCACGTCCTTGCTCTCGGCATCAGGGGCTGCCTGCCACGCTCTGTCTTTCCCTCTTCCCCACCTTCACTCCATCTAACTTTGTCAGGGTTATAGATAGCTCTGTTCCTTGTGCTCTTGCCTTTTGGCTCTGTTTTGTAACACCCCATCTGTATCAGCTGGCTCAGCTCCAATCAGGGGGGCTAAGCTTTAAAAAAAAAAAAAAAAAACACAACAGCTTCCTTGGGTGCTTCGTGACACGGCTTCCCTCTGCAGTCTCCTCTGAGCTCAGGCCCCTGCTCAGGCCATGGGCTGGTGTCTCCCCCACCCTGCTCGCTGCTCTGTGCGATTCAGCCATGCCATCCCCAGGCGACAGTGGGGGGCTGAGAGCAGGGCCAGCATACCCAGGCAATCACCCCCGGTGATGGGGTCAGGGTTTCTACTCCTAGCTCCTTCTGCTCTGGCAGGGCAAGTCCAGCTCTTGCACTCATTTCTGGTACCTCATGGGCACCTCTTTCAGGCAGCACCAAGGCTCAAGCACAGAGTGCAGGGTGGGAGGAGCAGCCGTGTATAAATAAGCCTTTTCCCTATGTTTAGAATTTATTACAGTGCATAGTGATTAACACCTGTTCCGGCTTTAACGCTGTCTCCTGCGCTGCAACATGCACAAAGATGGAGGCGCCCTGATAAACCCAAGATAATTTTAAAAGCATGTCACATAAACACAACACTCCCCGCCCCATAGATAGCAGCCACCCTTTGTGCACTCATACACATGTTTCTAAGACTTAAAAGCAGCTATCTTCATGTACATATGCACATATAGTCACCAATCTAGTTTACATTTACAAATGTCTGCACAGAGTTGGGCTTGCACAAGTACCAGGGACACTTCTGTGACCCATATTTATCAACATCCATGTCTTGCACAAAGCTGCCTGCTTCTCCAAGCATAGCATATGCTCAGGTGGCAGAGCGGTAGATTTGGAATAGGTTCCTGACTGCTGAAGTGCAATAGGCAGTGAGCTTCTGCATTTATACCCTGTATAATTGTATGTTTATGGAGAAATTTTAATTCCAAGGATCCAGAAAAACCCCATTTCTCCCACGCATCTATTGCCCATAAGCACATTAGACCCTTAGTGATTAATATTCTGCAGCCAGGAGAGAGCAAGGAGGCAGAGAGGATTTTTGAGAGTTTCTTTTTTAAAGGTTTTCTCTGACTTGCCTTGAATATTGACTTAATTAGCTGTTCTACTGTGGCCCGAGAGATGCCTTCTGCTCTGCAGAGCATCAGGCCAGATGCGCTCATTGCCAACACAGCTCTGGGAACCCTGTAGTCCTGGGGCAACTAGTACCTGCCCACACCTCAAGGCCCTCCAGAGCACCACCAAACAGCCTGACAGTCAGGGACTTTTCCAGCAGCAAGGACTCTGCCAGACCTAGGAATAGCCCCCATACACCCCCAGCCCAAGAGGAGAGGCACCGTGCCATTCATTCGGAACTAGCATGGCATTGCCTGGGTTTGGGGGCCCAAGGCTGATCTGCATTGCTGGTACTTGGAATGTTCTGAAGTGACCCAAAGACTCCACAAACCAGCCATTCGTCTTCTAGGCTTACTAGATGGTTCCTTCTCCCTGGAGCAACATGTCAGCTAAATGCCCTGTGATCCATGGGACACAGTGTCCAGAGCTTTATTCCACGTGCTTGGAGTTGAATCTCTTTTGCAGATTCTGGAGAAATTAAACAGAGTAGCCTGTGGGGCTGGTGATGGCCTTTTCTTCTTGCTGTTTGATATAGGACAGTAAAAGACAACTTCTTCAGTTTCAGCTCAGAGCAACAGAATGAAATAATCCATTTCTGGCCCATAGACTCCAGTGGCCAAAAATATACTGAACTGAAGTGACAGTTGGACATTTGGCCTGCTGTCAGACTCAAGAGGACTTTCTAATGAGGATTCCCCTAATTAGCTTGAACAGGGTGCTTTCTGCTGGGGGGAATGCTGAGGAGATTGTAGTGAGTCTGCAGCACTTGCCAGGGCATAAAAGCTACAGCAGGCACTATCACTGTCTTGTGCTTCCCTTCTCCGTGCCCAGACACCAGTAATGTTTGCAGTATCACTCTAAAGCCTTAGCTTTCATAAGTCAGGTCCCAAGGAGCTGATATTGTGAGGGTGGGGAGGGTTTCAGTTTACTGCATCCACATACTGTTTTACTAACACTTCCCAGTTCTGTGACACCTTCTATCCAAAGCTTTCCATCTGCTTTACAAACGGCTCTTACCGTGGTTGTAGGTGTTGTTGTTGTTATTTTGTATTTAATGACCTGCAGAAGTAAGGCTGAGGTCGTAGTCAGTAGTGCCTCTGCTCTCTGCTCTAGGTAGGTGGATAAAGCTATCCCATTTTCCAGATGAGGACACTGAGGCTAGAGAGACAGGTGACTCTGTCACTAGGATGAGTCACAGTCAGAAACAGAGTCCAGCTACCTCTGTCTGATTCTCTTCTAGTCCTTTGCACTAACTCTTGGACCATGGCTCAGGGATCCGACTCCATTAACATCCTGGCTTACGATCATTGGCAGGGCATGTGGGTGACCTATATTACAAAAAGGTAGGTAACACAGGCTGCAACAGATGCCAGCGATAAATTATAAGGAAGTACACACAGACATTCATCCCTTCCCCACACTCTCTGACAAGTGATGGCAAAGTCCCCTTCCCCTTTCCAATGCTGAATTGCTTTAGCCTTTATCAGAAAAGCAGCAGGGGCATGCAGGACACTTTATCTTTTTTCCCTCCACTTTCCTTATTACTTTTAGAATTCCTGTTTATTACCATCACCCATAATGTAGGGGGACAGTGGTACCCCAGAGTCCAGTGACTGAAGCATGTTGTTCTGTGTTTGTTCCTTCATCAAACCTTGGGGGAGAAGAATTGGTACACAGAGGGCAGGGAGACTCAGCAGCCATGGGGTATGATCGCAGCAACTGAAAGTTCATGAAGTAACCTGTCTAATGAGTGCTAGGGGGAAATCATGCTCCTGACAGTGAATCCACAAGTGGGTTTAGATGGCATGGAGATGATGCGCATTCTTGGTCCCCCAACAGACCTAGGTCAGTCTAGCAAATTGTTGACCACAAGAGGTCACCTTGTCTCAGCAGCAGCTCCTCATCTGTTGTTTATTTGGACTGCAAAAGCACCCAGAGGTGGCCGCCATGCTCAGCAGTACTGTAGAAATATACAGTGTGTGTCGCTGCCCCAGTGAACTTCTAAGCTAAATAGCTAGGGACTTCATTTCCAGCACTTACTGATTTATTAACACATGTTTTCAGGATTCATTAGTGTTGTGCTGTCACAATCAATGGAAAGCACATTTTAAATTCACACTAGAAGCCCAGCTGCAGAAGAAATGGTGCCATCTGACTTGCAGTGATTGATCACAACTAAGCAAAACACCTCATACAGAAAGCTGTAAAGTAAGTAGAAAGTGTGGAAACCCCACTCAGTATTGTAAAGGACTCTGCCACATTCCTGACTTGGTGTGAATAAAAACCTCACCCTATTCTCTGGGATGTGAAGAGGTCAAAAAGCTTCTGATCTTTGGAATGACACATGTAGGCACCTCTGAAATGCAAATGTGATTGGTGTTAAAAAATGTTTCCTCCCCAAGCCTCTCCAAAAAAAAAGAACTTTATCCCCATTTTACGGAGGTGTAAACTATGATAGAGGTAAAAATGGCTGCTGTGTTTGGCTGACTGAAATTTCATCTGCCCAGCTCTTGATACCTCATCATGAGTCCACATCAGTTCCCTACTCAAGATTTTCAAAACTGCCAAGTCCAGTGCTTGCACAGGATCACCTGGGCTTGTAAATGCTCTCCTGTACTGCAGAGATGATTTGTAGGGCTTATCAAAGTTACACAGAATAAAGGAGTTTTGATGGGGCTTTCCCAAAGTTTCCTGATGGACATGTGACAAAATCAGGAGAGAAGGCAGTTTTCTTGATTTCTCGTCTCATACCTTAACCAGGAAACATTATTTATATCCCAAGCCTCTGTGACCAACACACAATAACAGGACTGGGAGATGTTGGAGGGGCTGGAAATACCAAGGTCATCAGACCCCATCAAACCCTCTGAGAAAGCACAGAGCATCCAAAGGGGACCCAGGGCATGTAGCACTGATGGGAAAGACCCAGATTGCCATGGAGAAGTGGGTTTCCTTGGAAAGCTGTGGAAGCAGGTGGGGAGACCGGGATATCCGACACGGGAGTGACAGGAAAGTCCCAGCACAGAGAGAGTGCGGCATATGGAGGAGGCCCATAACAGCAGCAGGAGGAGAGCTGAGGGGGCAGTTGACAGGAAGAAATCCAGCCATGTGTGTGCCAGCATCTTCCCTGAGTATTATTGAATGCGACAGACCACGTGCATGTTTCCTTCATGCAAAACGGAGGCAGCTGAGAAGGGAAGCGGGTGAGGGAGTGGGAGAGGGACTCAGAGGAGGGACACGTGAGCTGGCTACCCAGTTTCCTCCTCTTTTTCTTGCCACAGAGTGCTGTTTTTGTTCTTCTCACACTATTGGCAAAAATTGGTAAGCGAGTGAGATGTGGAGGGGGGTTCTACATGAACACTGAAATAACATTTTCTGATCCAGCCAGGAACAGTTGGCTGTGGGTGGTGGCTTGTCACCAGCTCTGCCAATTCTAATCCAGATCCCAGTTTTTCTCCTCTCAGCTGTGGAATGAAGAGCCTCCTCTACAACTTTAATTTCCTGCAGGGGTTAATCCCATGGTCAGTAGTAGCTCAGGCCCTTAATCGTTCTATTCAGCCCCTTGACAGAAGGACTGCGGCTGCTCCTGACCGATTCTGACCTGGCAGGTCTGAAGGACGCACCCTTCTGCTCACAGTTCCTCCTTTACACCCC